TTGGGGGTGGCTTTGGTTGATGGCTGGAACGGTGGGGAGAGAAAGGGAGAGAAAAACTGCTGAAACAAGGGTAAATGAAAGGATTGATTGATGAATTTAAGAATTGAAATTGAAAGGACAGAGATGACCAAACTTAGAAAAGAGATGTCGGTGCAATTCAAACCGGAACACTATTCAGTAATTGAGTCATATCTGGAGCTGTAGATCTCAGATTTAGGTCTACTTTATATGGATGGAAAGGTAAGACATGGGCCTATAACTTTTATATGGAACCCAAGACTTAAAAAGGTCATTTTCAAGTCCAAATTGTAGCAACAACAAAGAAGTCTGAATCTATCTTCGAGCCCGAGCACTGTTTAGTTATTGGCCCATATCTGAAGTTATAGAAGTCCAAATGACCTGAATTTTTTACACAAGAAAGCTGAGATAATTTTCTACAACTTTCATGTTTTAAGTGGCTTCAATTTTGACATTATTAATGACATTTTGGGCAGATAAGAGAAGATAAGGATTGTTACCAAGTCAAGAGTTGGTCATCCACTCATCAATTAGTCATCAAATCAATAGTTCCTAATTTTGGCTTATAAAAGGAGGCATTTGCCATGCATTTAGGCATTTTGGTTTACAGATCAAGATTATGCTCTTGCTTTCTCTCTTTGTATTTTTTGTAATGTTTATGCTTTGTTTTCATTAATATCAAGTTTATGCCTTTCATTTACTTAATTAACTTTTATCTTATTTATGTTCTTATTTTGTTTATTTATTTTTCTTTCTTTCATTATGTTTAGCTAAGTTTATTATGTCAAGGTAAAAAGGTTACACTAATGGTGTAATAATAAGTATAGTGTAAACTTAATATAGACTTTAATGTTTGATACTAACATGTTTTGTATTTGTTATCTTGTTCACTCTTTAATACTTTGCTTGTTAAATGACTAATCTTAATTTATATTATATAACACTTGGTACAACAAATACTTGACACTTCCATAGTCCATATTGTATAGTATAACCGACACCAGAGCTATGAAAGGAACTTGATTTGTTGTTAACATAAGTTATAATCATGAATGCTTGACAAGATTTACAAGTATTAGCATTAATTGAGATTTACAAGTATTATCATTAATCGAATAAGATGACTAATGTAATAATATTAACAATCTATAATCAAATTGGAATCTCCTTTGTGTATGGTTTCCACTTGAATAATAAGAGTTTATACTATACTTGTTTGACATACCATTAGTGAATCCTCTAACCTTGACATTTATTGTTATCATTGTTTAATCCTTACATTAATATTCTATCTAAAAGCTCACATCATCATCATCATCATCTTCTTCTCCTTTTTTGCTTTATTATTATTATTATTATTACTACTACTACTATTAGTACTATTATTATTATTATTATTATTATTATTGCTACTAATATTATTTTTGTTGTTGTTGTTGTTGTTTATAATTGTTGTTTATAATTTGTACAATTAACCTCCCTATGGTTCGACCCTGGTCTTGCCAGGTTATTTATTACTTCGACACTCCTGTACTTGGGAGAAAATATCAATCTTTTAGTCGTATCAATGTTATATGTATTAAACGCATCTACATAGCAGCCTCCCTAAGTTGTCATTTTAGAGATTTAAAGAAGAAGATGAAAAATATGAAAGTTTTATTTTTTGCTAAAGTTTATTTTAGTCTTTTCTCTTTAAATTTGATTTAATTGCACCTATAATTGATCCTAAAACTTCAATTTTCTTATGATTTTGCCTATGATTTCAATCAATTAACTTGATAAAATTAAATTTGGTCTTGTAAAATTTTAATTTTCTCAATTAAGCCCAAATTAGGCTCCCAAACTTAATTTTTTATCAATTAAGCCCCATATAAAATTAATTTGACCCATTTAAAGTATAATTAAGTTCTTGCACTTAATTAAATCCTTCAATTAGATCCAAATTAATTCTTAAACATAATTAAAATTTAATTTGGCCCATGATTAAATCAAATTGACCTATTAAAAATTTAATTATGTCCTTGAAGTTAATTTTTATGCAAATTCATCCAATAATTATTCAATTTGACCTTGAATTTACATTTTTCTTCATTTTGGGTATAATGGGGTGCCTTAAAACTTTCTCTAAAATTACTGTTCAATTTCCTGGTCTGTTTTTTCTAAACTGCTAGTCTTTATTTTATTTTTTATTTTGAAAAAAAATGAATTTTAAGAAATAAGCTAGAATTGGATTCCGAGAACAACTATAAACATCATTTGAATTGGGGAAAAAAAGTTTTTGTTGGGTGAAAGTTACTGCTAAAGTGGAGTGGCTACAAATCAATAAACCATATCAAAAGCTACTGGAATTATATATGTCAATGATTGGGCACCCAATGAGCTGACAAATGTGGGATGAAAATCGAGCAGAAAATTAATGGGGAAATCTACTCTTTTATATTCTTTGTTGGATACCGGAAAACTTAATTAATTCAACTTATTGAATGCAACTTTTTTAATGATCCGTTGGTTAGTATATGTTTCTGAGTAAAACCAAACGTAATTAAAAGAAAACTCAACAAAATCAAGCACCCAAAATCCTAATAAATCCAACTTTAAAAAAGAAAAAGAAAAAAAAATGCAAACCAGTTCAAAGTCCATTAATTATATTCCTCTTCATCGTTTGTGCATCACGCAAAGCAGCGCTCTTTAAAGGAGGAGTGAAAGGAAGGAAGATTAGACTACAGAATCAGCTAGCTACACTTTTACTTGAGCAAATAAATAATGTCTGGAAATAAATTCTAAGTTTTAAGGAGAAAATTGAAAGGAAAGAGATTAAAAGGGGGAGAGAAGGGGAAATACTATTTATACTGAAGGGCTGGGATTACTTGTATTTATATAGCTTGGGTCGATTTGCGTCTGGTTTTAAAAATTTCAACCTAGTTATGATATCATTTTATTATATTTTATGACTTATTATTATTTGTAATATTTATATTATTTATAAAAAATATACTTCTATTTTATAGTAAAATTACATTGATTCCCTTAAGAAACAATATGTTTGTTTGCCGTGTTTTTATCATTTTGTTTTGCTATGCTATGCATATTAAAATTATCATATTACCCTCTGAATTATGAAGAATTTAAATTGAAAACAGGGTTTATTTTGTCTTTTCATTTTTATAAGTATAGTTAAAAAACTTATTTGTCTTTGGAGTTTTGTTTTCCCTTAAGTCTAGGGTTAAAAGATATTTTAGTCATTATATAACTAGTTTTTTTAATGTTGTTGGGGATGGTACAAGGGTAATTTGGTTTTTAAAAATTATATATAAAAAATATTGTGGAATAACCAATTTATTATTTTTAGATAACTTATATGACTGATTGAAGTGGCTAAAAAAAATTATGTCAATGTAATATCAACTTTATCTTAACATTTTATTTATGGATATGCAATTCGTTTACCTAGAGGAATTATAATTGGACACTAATAACTATTTTTTTTCCTTTTTTTCCTTAGTGTTTGTACCTTATCCCTAATTTTTCAAGTCAACCCCTAAATTTTTTTTCTTTTGATTTAATCTATATTTTTTTATATGATTTTTTTTGAAATAATTCATTAAATTAGATTTTTGTTTTGATTTCATCCTCATTCAATTTTTTATCTTGTCAAATTTAATTTTTGTTTTTTTAATTTTTATTCTTATAATCTAAGATAATATTTAGAGTTGCATTTTTTTCCACCCTTCATGAATTTTCTTCCTATTAGATTTTATCTCATTATTTTGATTGTTGTTTTTTTTTATTTGAAATTTTTTAAAATTGGTATTTTTTACCCAATTTCATTCTTTGACGTTTAATTGGTTTAAATTTAAACTTTTTAATTAAATTCATGTCTAAGATTTCATAGGTTGTAAATTTAAAAAAAGATCCTAATTTTATAAGGTTTGCCTATGATTGCTTTGTTTTTTTTTTTTTTTATCATTTAATCTAATGTTTTTTTATTTTTCAATATTTATTTAATTGAAGATTGAGTTCTATTATTTTCATGCTTTTTATGACCTTAGTTCTATCATTCTCTTTTTATTTATTTAATTGGTCACCTTATATCTTTTTATTTGTTGTTTTATATTAAATTAAATATAATTGATTTATTTAATACATTGAATGCCTACGGCATTTTGTTTTCTTCAACTTGCTTTTTTGAAACTTTACTCTAGCTATTCATGCTAATTCTGCTAGTGTCATTGTCCACACTTTTATTATTAGGTTTAAATCATCTTAATAAGCTATTTTTATAAGCTTTTTATAATGAAGATGTTCACAATAGAGTATGATGGGTTTCAATAATTTTTTTAATTTTTTTTAGATATGATATTGATAGCTCATTTATTTTAATTAATTATTATCAAATATTTTTTTATATAATTCATCTACTATTACTCTTATAGTTAAATTTAAATTATTAAATTACTTAATTTTATTAGATGTAATCGAATTAATAACTCAAATATCAGATTTTTATTTACTTATTTAAAAAAGTTATCATTATCTAAATATCCGTTTTGCGTGCTTAAAATATTTTAACCGGCAACCGGCTGCTACGAAGCGCAGGTCATCGATCCAAAGAGAAGTTAATATACAAGAATGCCCATTGTACGCAGCTCTTTCGATCCAATAAATCACTTCTACTGCTAACATAGTCCACGTCATACATTACTATCCAATCACATTTAACTCCTGAATGCTAAATGCACTTCGCACGTGACACTATCACCGCCACTCATTATTAATTTGCTAGTTTTGCCCAGAGAAAAGACAACTTAAACTAGATAGTAATTAATATTCCATCCCCAACGCTGGTTTTAGATCCCTCGGGTGAGATATAAGCACATTAAAACCGTCCAATTATAAAAACATAAAATCCAACGGCCGCTATATGTCCAAATGACCCTAGTTATAAGTAGGCAGTAACAAGCTGACTCTTCCAAACTCTTCTTTTCTCTCTAAAATAAAAAATTGAAAAAAAAAGATACTCTCTCTCTCTCTCTCTAGGTGTTTTTCGGAGCGTTGTCTCATCGAATCGTGATCTAGTTTCAACCGTTGATGTCAGTTAGTCAAAGTCACTCTTCTAGTTGCTTCGATTTGGCTAGATTTGGGGTTTCGTTAATATAGGGTTCTGTTTTTATGATCAGTTTCTGTAAATCTTTCGTTAATTAGTATATATCGTCGGCTTCTATTGGAGTTTGTGTCGGTGAATCGTTTTGCATTCATTGAGCAGCGAAGAGATAGCAACCGGTAAATGTCTTTTTAGTGTTATTAGGGTTTTGTTTCTCTAATTTTTTATGATTGGTCTTGCAATTAGGATTTAAGGTTTTTTTTTTTTAATTCCTATATTCTTTTTTTGTAATTTTGAACGGATAAATTTGAAATTTACTGAAATCCTTACTGGCTTGAACTCTAAGCAGCTCTAATTTTGCCGTTTAATTTTTAGTAATTTTAAATGTTATTTAGGGTTAATTTTACCCATATTTTTGTTGCTGGGAGTAACGGGGAAATCGAAAGAGAAGCAAAAATCTTGTTCTTGATTCATTGTTTTGCAAGACATGAATATTTCAACCCAATAAAGTAATGCAATTTAGAAAATTGTTTTGCAGTTAAATTGTGTAATTGTTGAGAAGTACAAGTAGATAATGACAGTATTTAAAAGTCTCGGGGAATAATTTTGTTCCCATGATTTATTTATGCAGAGTTGGGTAATTAAACCAACCCGCGAACAAAAGAAGTACTGGATTTTAGTTATTGGCTAAGATGATGGCAAAGAAAGGTAAATTCAGTGGAAGGTATCATAGAAATAGATTTCACACAGCAGGTGAAATTGAGGGTTCTGCTAGTTCAGGAAGGATTGACATGGAGATTACAGTTTCTGAGGGTTCTAGTGCTCCTGGGCGGAAACTTAGCAAGTTAAATTCCAACAAAGAGGACACTTTTGGTGTCCCTGTGCAGATATTTTCTCCATCGCACCTGTCACCATCTGAAAGGAAGGATTTAGAACAAAGGTTGAGATGGGAACTTGAACAAGTAAGGAATCTCCAAAAGAGAGTTGATTTACAGAGAACGAATGGTGTTACACTGTCATCTTCCAGTGACATTCTTAGTTGTAGCAATGGAACAAATAGGCCTCGGATAGAAACTTTTAGGAAGTCTTCGGCTATGACTTCTGGGTCTGGGAAGAAAGTGAATCTAACAGGACAGGCACGTGTATGGAATAGGGGTAATTCAGGAAGGTTTAAGTCTGCAAAACAAGTTTCCAGACAGACAACACCAATCACTCCAAATATAATATTGATGAAACAGTGTGAGACGCTGTTGAAACGGTTGATGTCTCATCAATACGGTTGGGTCTTCAACAGCCCAGTTGATATTGTGAAGTTGAACATCCCGGATTATTATACTATTATTAAGAATCCAATGGATTTGGGAACCATAAAGAGTAAGATATCTTCTGGTGCTTACTCAAGCCCTTTGGAGTTTATGGCTGATGTGAGGCTTACTTTCAAAAATGCTATGGTGTACAATCCACAAGGGTCTGATGCCTACGTTATGGCTGATATTCTTAATAAATTTTTTGAAATGAGATGGAAAGCTATTGAGAAGAAATTACCAAGGGCTGGCGGTGAAGTTTTGCAGGAAAATTCAGGTCCTCATGAAGACTTTGAAACTGCTGAAACATCTCCTGCCAAAAAGAGAAAAGTAACCTCTTTCCAACATGACATTATACCAGAGCCTGGAAAGCGGGGAATGACAGATGAAGAGAGGCTCAATTTAGGTAGAGAATTGGAGTCTTTGTTGGGAGAAATGCCTGTAAATATTATTGATTTCTTGAGGGAAAATTGTTCAAGTGGGAGGAATGGTGGAGAGGAGGAAATTGAGATAGATATTGATGAACTCAGTGATGACACCTTGTTCACATTGCGGAAGCTCCTAGATGACTATTTGCAAGAGAAACGAAAGAATGAAACCAGAGGGGAACCTTGTGAAATAGAGGTATCTTACTCTTGGCTTACTGTTTAACCAGAACTCTCCTGCCTTTTTTGTGTATGACAGCAGTTGTCTATTTTTGTCACAGCTATTGAATGAATCCGGGCCAAGCAATTCATCCATGCAACAGAAAAAAGGTTTTTTTCTATTACACTTTGTCACAGTTGATGATGGTCTGACCGTCAAGGCTTGCACATCGGAACCTTTTGTTCACTTGACTCTGGTGGGCTGTGTGTATAGGGAATGACCTGGGTGATGAGGAAATTGACATTGGTGGCAATGGGCCTCCTGTCTCAAGCTATCAACCTGCGGTGATAGAAAAGGAAAAGGATATAGGCCATAAGAGCAGCAAAATCAGCTCAGATAGCTCTAGTGGTAAAAAAAGTTTGCCTTTCTATGTTTTTTTTGTTTGTGCTTCAAAAATTTTGTTTTATATCAAAAATCTTGTCCAAGAATCCTCACAAAGGTGAAAAAATATGCACGATTGAGTTGTATTTGGAAGAGAACATGTTAATGAGTACTCGTCTAGAGTTCTAATTTCTTGCTCACTAAATGTTCCCTAATAGATTTATGTTCCTACTGATGTTTTTGGATACTGGGGAGCAAACCTGTGAAGTTGAAACTTTTAAGTGAAGAGAGATGGAAACAATGAAACTAACTTGGAATAAGGGTTATGGAAATTGCAATTTTCTTACTTCTTTATTTCATAGACATGCTTTGGTGAGATTTATGGTTCTATATCTGTTTTTCCTTGTCAGATCATGTACTTGAATTAGTTCCTAGCTTTGTTGTTAGAATCATCTTTCAAGGTCTGGGTACCTGGATTTACTCCCCTGGGAGTTTCCCATCATCCATTATCCATCATCATTTACATGTGTTTGAGTGATTTAAGGACAGGAATTCACCTATGGTATTGATTGAAAAAATGTGATTCTGATGGTCCACTGTGGTATTGGAAAATTTTGGTTAGGAGACTCTTTTCCTTAATACACTGACAAGCAGTGATGTCATATCAGAAACTTAATGCAACATTATTGCAATTAATGTTTTCTTGCTCACAAAAGTCTACTCATGTAATGAATCATTTCAACTTCCGAAGAAAATTTTTGTTTAAATTAAAGGGGAACATAATTTGTCTTACAAAAGAATACAGGTCATACTTGTCTATTTAGTCATGTAAAAGAGCTTTGTAATTTGTTCTCCAATTCTTTTCAGATTCAGACTCTGGCAGTTCTTCTCAAAGTGAATCAGATATTGCAAAAGTTTCAAGTCCAGCAAATGCATCAAGGGTGAATTGCTTGTTTGAATGATTTTGAATATTCTTAATTCTATATTTGTTAAACGTTCATGATTGGATAGAGCAGTCTGTCTTGTTTTATTTGCTGTTTGGAAAATGTTATTTAATTTCCCTTTCAACTTTAGGTATCTGAAACCTTGGTTTGTGGAGCTCGATTAGGCAACAAAACAAATGCTGGTGCTAAGCTTGAGAGGAATCGTGAGTATTTGTTACTAAATCCTGCTTTCTTGCATGATCCAAAATGAGGGTACAAATAACACTTCAATGTTTAATAGTTCTTGTTGACAAGCCTTAATAAGAAAAGCTGAGCCCTGGAATATATCATGGATATCCCTGCTTTAGGCTGCTACATCATTATTATTGTTTTATAGTCCTTAGGTGAGAGATAATTTATCATACATGCTTAACCTTTTCTTGTTCTGATGCAAGCTCTTTTAGGGGAAACGAAATTGAACTCTATTATTAGATGTAGTTTCTATTTGGATTGTTCTGAAATTGGAAGCTGATGCAAATTCTATTTGAGCTTAGGTATACCTGAATTGTGTTTTAAAATGTTAAAAAGCTGCAATTGTACTGAACTGTGCATCTGATATTCTCAATTTTTTATCGAGAGAAAAATAACAAGGTTGAGCTACATGTCTATAATATCTTTTAAAGCTCATTGAAGGCATCTGCATGCCCTCAAATTTTTACGTTGTTTTTCCTGGTCTAGTGCTGCAAATTTTCTTCCTTGTTTTTATCCCTAAAGTTTTCTAATCGGGGTCCTGTACAGAATCTGTCAGTGGTTTGGATCAGCTTGAACAGACTTCCCAGGAAAAGCTGAGTTCTGTTGAGTCTGATTGCCAGCAAGATGGTAAGTTTTAGAGGATGGAAGGACTTTTCATTTTGTTTTATGTGTTGGGGATCATATCACTAATGAATTCATAAACATCTAAATTCTTAGGGGAAAGTGCTCCAAGTGATAGCCAGGTCTCTCTTGAGAAGCGTATTAGGCATGCTTTGATCAAGAACCGTTTTGCCGATACCATATTAAAAGCTAAAGAGAAGACACTTTCACAGGTCTGGCACAAGTTTTTCCTACCTTCGAAGTTGTTCTTTTTGTTCACGTGCAGTGTAATAATATTTTTTGGATTTTATCTCATTTGATTTTATCTTTGCTGGAATCAGGTTGACAAGGGGGATCCTCAGAAACTGCAGCGGGAGAGGGAGGAACTTGAACTGCATAAAAAGAAAGGTTCTGTTCTGAATTGCCTTTGAACTTTTCACATCATGTCTGTGGTTCTGTGTGAATTCAATTGGTTGCATGTTTGGGTTAACATGTGGTGTACACTATATCAGTGTGTATTTTAATTTATTAGTATCTCCAAGCTGATGATGTATTCTTGTCTGACCAGAAAAGGCGAGGTTGCTTGCTGAAGCAAAAGCTGCTGAAGATGCTCAAAGGCAAGCCGAGGCAGCAGCTGCAGCTGAGGCTAGACAGAAGAGGGAGCTTGAAAGAGAGGCAGCGCGACAGGCTTTGCTGAAGGTAAAAGCATGAGGTTCATGCTGCAGAACTGTAGCTTCTTCATCATTCTGTGTTCTGTATTTTATTGGAGCATGTTTGTTGTGCAGATGGAAAAGACTGTTGAAATTAATGAGAACTCTCAGTTTCTTGAAGACCTGGAAATGCTCAGGGCTGTCCCTGCTGAGCATGTACCAAGCTCTGTAGATGAGACGAGCCCAGATCGCTCACAAGATGGCTTGGGTGGGTTCAAGTTTGGGGCCTGTAACCCCTTAGAACAACTTGGTTTGTTTATGAAAGATGATGAAGAGGAGGAAGAGGGTGAACCGTTAAATGTTTTAAATCCTTTAAATGAAGTAGAAGAGGGAGAGATTGACTGAACTGTGATACTTTGTTTGTCATGTTGAATCAAGAAGCAATGTTTTGACTTCTTATCGGGGAAAAATCACCGGCTAAGTAATTCTGAATGGCTGTCAGGCCATTAGGGTCCTTTCCTTTATAAGATGGGCTCTTGGATATAGCGAACAGGACCATGGACAGCCTGGATGTATAAATATTGTACTCATGCACGACATGGGATTTACCCTGACACATGAACTTGTGTGTAGGCCATATGGAAAGATTGATCTGGTGCACTGCGTCTGCCCAAGAGCATAAAGGCCTTTGTAGCCAAGCAGCAGAGAGTTGTGTTGAGACCCGGTTTTATCTAAGAGAGATGAGTTTGGAACTATGTGAACCCAATATGGTATCTAATGACTACAGGCTATATAAGATACTTTCTTTGGGTGACCTTGGAATTTGGTGGGAAGTCTGTTTTCTCAGTAGTATTGTTGTTGGAATTTTGTGGTTGAAGGTGATGGGATCTCATTTGGTAGATTGTGTTTTGATGCTAATGGTGGTGTAATTGATCTTACTATCAGTTCTATGGCTTTTGGGTTGGTGTGCAATTGATATAGGTGGAGTGGATTATAGGTTATGCGAACCAGAAACTTATGTCCTTCGGGTTTTTGATCAAGTCTAATAGAGGCTGAGGATAATGCGCTGGGATTCTGATGCTCTCAATGTGATAATGTGAGAGTTCAGTGTAATGTCTATGGACAGGGAGGGGGATTGCAATTACACGGTGATGCTTGTAAGCTTGCTTCTTGCATGTGCTAGAGTGGCCAGAATGTCTACTGACCATTTGGAGCAACAGTATGGAATTTCTGGCTCCCCTGGATTCTTGACCTAGTTATGCAGAAAGCCTAATGTTGAGCATTTTTGGATTTCTTCAGTCTCGAAGGGCTGTTAGTATGTTGTTTTATTATAGTGTCTTCTGCTGCTGAACGATCACTTTTATCATCATGTTTGCTGCGAGTTCGGTCTTCTTTTTGAAAAATTGGGAAAATGAGAAAAAATAAAATAAAATTATCTTCAACTCTCTTCTGGAAAAAGAAAAAAATGAAAGGATTTGTGCTCAAAATAATCAAGAGAGTCTTGAAATTAAAATTATTTGCGATTCTTCATTTCATATAGATTGATCATCAGGGATTTGTACTGTTTCGGAGTATAGTGGATTTTGATTTTAGATGTTTTTTCAAAGTGTGTGATTAAAAATAAATATTAATTTCATGTTTTTTATTTTTTATCATTTTGATGTTTTTATATTAAAAAATATATTCTATACATTTTAAAACTCTTAAAACGAAAAGTAAAAGCATTTGCAACATGATACTAAAAACATGCGAAAACTTGTTTAATTTTATGTTGTAATTTTTTTATTTTTTTATTAATTATAAATTAATATATTTTTAATTTTTTTTAATGTTCAAATTTTTTTAATGTGTTGATATTAAAATTAATATTTTAAAAATAAAATAATATATATATTGACATAATTTTTTTTCTAAAAATCAATTATAATTACACTATAAAACAGAATATATTTATTTTCAGAAAATATTTTATTTTACACTGTAAAATAATATATATTCTTTAATTTTATTTATATTATTTTTTGAAATTTTTCTAGTTTTATAAGTTGATTTGATTTTTTTAATATTAAATTAATTAAAAATTAAAATTTTAATTTGTTTTAATTTATTTTTTATAATATTATTTTATCTCATAATTTAGTTTATGAGTTCATTTGTTAACTTGTATTACTTTAAGTTGTGTTTTTTTAATTGAATTTGTTAATTTTATTTTTTAATATTAATTGAAATTAAATTTTATAAATTATTTCAATTTATTTTTAATCGACTTATTTTAGTTTTATTAGATGAGTTGCGAGTTTAACAAGTTAATTCAAACTTATTTAAATTTATTTTTTATTAATTTTTTTAATTTTATCTTTTAATTTTAGATTTATTAAAAATTAAATTTTAAAATTTATTTAAATTTTTTTCTAAAAAATTATTATATTCTTATGATTTGTTATGAAAATTTACAGGTTATTTTATATTGATACAATTCATTTTCATATATTTATTTTTAAATATTTATAAATTTTTTTATTTTAAATATTTATTTTAAGTTCAACTAATATTTAATTTTTTTAATATAATTATAAGTTTAATTGTTTTAAATTATTTTAAAAAAAAATATTAGGAACAGTTATTCATTTTTTTATATTAAAAAAAGTTAATTCCATCGTTAGCGTCGTACGGGTTAAATTTCTAGGCATCCCTGAAAGAGTAGCGAACGCTATAAAACGACCTCGCTTTTTGAAGTCCTTTTTCACAATTCCCTTGTAAACCTTGAAGCTCTCAATTCCTCGAGAAGCACGGACGAAAAAGGCAAAAGAAGTGAGAGAGATAACCTCTCACCAAACGGCCCCCTTCCCTAACACCACCACTATCATCACCAAATTACTCTCCTCCCTCTCTATAAAGTCTCTCTCTATTTTTTGTGTATTAGAGACTCTCTAAATTCATTAAAAAAGAGGTTCAAAAAATAATGGAAACCCTAATCAAATCGCTCCCAGACCTCCCTATCCTCTTCTCCTTCTTCCTCACCATTTACCTCGCAGCCCATTTTCTTGTTTTCCGTAACTGGAGTCCCAAGATCCGACCTGAAGCAGCCAGCTGCTTAATCTCTATATTTCACGGTACACCGGCGGTGTTTTTAGCGACGCACGCACTATTCACAGACCCAAACCGAGGTTTCTCTTCCTTAAACACAAAAACAGAAGCCTCGGTCCTTGATTATAGCATTTCCTACTTCTTAATGGATCTTATTCACTACCTTATTTTCTCACCAAGTGACATCCTTTTCATCGGGCATCACTTGGCAACTCTTTTTGTCTTCGTCACTTGCCGCTACCTTGTCACTCGCGGCGCCTACGCGGTACTGATGCTGCTGATTCTTGCAGAGGTGACTAGCGCGTGTCAGAACGCGTGGACACTTGCCAATGTGAGGAGAATCGATGTGGAGTTTGCTGCCAAAGTGTATGATTTTTTGTCTCTGCCATTTTATGCCTTTTATTCCGTCGTTAGAGGGATTTTGGGGCCGTATTTTGTGTATCAAATGGGTGCGTTTTTTATTAGTGGGGTTGATGGTGGTATAATTCCTAAATGGATTTGGGTTTCTTGGTTGTTTGTTGTTGTAATTGCTATTAGTGTTAGTATTTTGTGGGTTACCAATTTGTGGGTTCAATTGTACAGAGAAAGGAGTGCTAAATTGGAAAAGAAATCGACATAAATTAATAAACTCAAATTTAAGTTTTCATTTCTTCGTTTTGGCTCAAGAAATTTCCCTTCATTTTACATTGTCAATGCAAGCAATCTATGATTTTTGTAGCAATTATCTGTAGGGCTCTAGGTGTTTAGTTGATTTGTTTACTAGTTATTATCTGAAAACTTTTCTTGTGAATGCAACTCTGATATACAATGACGGTGTTTGAATGTGTTTAAAAGTGTGATATTGATTGTTTTTTAAGTGTTTATTTCTCAGAAAAATATCAAAATAAAATAAAATTTTAATTTGAAGTTAAAAAATTTAAAATTTTAATAAAAAAAGGTAGAAATTCACTTACAACCACCTTCTTATTACAACGTGACAGGTATGGCCTTGTTTTTTTTGAAAAACATTAATTAATTATTTTTTATTGTAAATTATGTTGCTATATTTTGAATCCTTTAGATAAATAATGATATTTAAAATAAATTTAAAATAAAAAAATATCTTTTTTAAAAAACTACAAATAAAAAAATTTAACGTTAGTCTTTCTGCTAAAAAGTGTACTATGGTGTTGGAGCTGGCCAACAAGAAAGCTGTATAGATTAATGAAGCAGGTAGGAGAGGTTGGTTGTATGATTGAGAAATCTTCCTCAAAATGGGGTTGAGTATGGGCACAGAATGGAATGGCAGTTGCGTCGTTTTGTCCTTCCTGTCACGGCATTTATGTTGTGTTCATATGTTCAAAATGGGTGGGCAGGTGCTAGGTTCATAGATGTTGGATATGCCCACTTTTACATGACCAAACTGGTATGGAACTCGGCAACGGCTGAAACAATTTGAGCAGCTAAGAACAGTTTTGGCTGCAGAAACCTCAATGAATCATATAATTTCGTCTTGTAATAAATTAGACGAGTGAAAAACAAGAGCGGAACTGAATTTGGGCTTGGAATTAGTGATCTAGTCAGGGAAAATAATTGTACAGGTACTTGATTTCTGATGGGATTAGTCAAATGTGGGAAAGATTAGATCGCCCGTGTCGAAGGGGAAGCAGGCAAGTGTAGTTGGCTTTCCGTATCCAACCTGTGATCTTTACGGCCTCTTGTTCTATAGAATTCATAGCTGAAGTAGCAGCAGTCTTTAGAGTCAAATAAGCGGTGGTAAAGCTTTTCTGTTTTCCAGGATGAATCTTCCTATTTCTCGGTGCTGTTGTGAGTAGATTGGCCGGTTGGTCAGAATGTCCAGAGGACTCAGGAAACGATAAAGAAAAGAAAAGGTTATTGTTGATTAAATTTAAGTAAAAGAAATTAATTTTAATATTAAGAAGTTCCATTTGATAGAGGAATATTATTGAAGTGTTTTTGATGATTTATTTGACTGGAGAAAGCAAATTGGGGCTCATGAAAATGATGTTCTTATTGCAAGATGGGTTTTTTAAGGATGACTCGTGACTTCCCAACTTGAGGTTGTTGGCATTTTCATAGTCAACGATGCGTGCTCGGCTGGCCCTTCTTTATTATAGGTCTGGCACTTGGTGTGCTTTCATAAAAGCGTATTTTTATATATAATTTTATTTAAGATTCATTAGAGTAAATAATTAAAAATATATTTTGAATTATTTTATTCAATATCAGTCAAGTTTTATTTTTTAATATATTATTATAGTATTTTTTATATTTTATTAAATATTATTTTTTTAGCGATTTTTTTTTAATTTCATGTGTTGTCTTTCTTGTAGATATCCTTTTTATTATTTTATTATTGTATAATTAATGAAAAAATTATTCCATATGGTCCAAGTGGTGACGAGAGAGCAGTTTATTATTCTTATATTTTTTTTTAATATATTTTTGTAAATATTGTCAACACTTGCTCCTGTAATTCCGATGAGTTTTTATTTTAAAAACAATATTCTCAAAATTTATTTTTTAAAAAGGAATACATTAATAAGATAAATGAGCTTTAATTAATGAGATACATTTTTTTTTTATTTCAAATTCTTCATTCTTTTTATATTTATTTTAATTGCTTTGAATTCTTTACATCTAAGAAAATCTATATATTTTTTTGCTGAAAACAAATAGCTAGATAAGGAGGAACTATACTGGAAAATTATTTGATTTTTCTTTAAGAAACAACTTTATAGCCATATCATTATATAATTACAAGGAAATAAATTGCTCCCCCAGCTCGAGATGACGCTTTATTTATCTCAATTTTTTTTTAACATTTATTTGTGTATATAATTTTTTATTTAGTTTATTGAATGGATGCTATAAAACATATTGAAAACGCTTTCATACTCTTTCTTGTTTTTGCGTTGAAGATTAATTTTTGCAGCGTAACCAGGGTAAGCATACCAGTCATTCCTGGAGTTAAACAGTGCATCAATAATTTAACTCTTCAACAGTTGCTTTTGGTGAGAAAACTCCCTATGCCATGCAACAATCTTGAAGCATGGTTCAGAGAAATTGTGGAGTGGAAATCGAACTAAGATTTCTACATTGCAGGAGTAAGCTCTTCGAAAACCATGAGAGATGAGTTATGAGAATGACAGTGAGGAATCATGACCTCCAAGAGTATGCAAAAATGTTGATGACATTAAAGTGAATCCAGAACTCCTTCCATGGCGTTTCATAGGAAACAAAGAATCCGAGGCAAGTTTAGTACTCAAATCCAGACACTTCACCAAAAACAAATAATAAGATCATGTTCCGCTGACACGCAAAATGCGAGGCAACTGCAGTTCAAATAAGAGACAAACTGTGGCCAAGCTTGAAAACAACATTGGTGGACAATGGAAAAGACAATACCTACCGATCAGCAATGACTTCTGCACAAACTGAGTCTGACTTATTGTCAAAGACATCTTAATTTTAATACAGCTATAGGGCGCCAGTCTAATACAGTTCTCAGAATTTACACTGAGTTGTGTGAGGATTGATCAAGAGAAAAACTCGTAGCCCTTGGCATTAAGTATGATTGTCCGCAACCCTCCAATAGGTGACAAAATCATCAATAAGAAGCCAAGTATAATGCAGATCTGAAATGGAGAATGCAGGATCAGGTTTGAGGAGATGAAAAGCATATCAAAGTGTGGTGTGAAAAATTAAGCATTGAGCATACCCAGTTGGTGATCCATGATAAGCTGAACCTTTTTGGTTTGTAGATGGCCAGCCATATGATACAAGGGAGCTGAAAATGAAAGGAAAGAGATTCAGGAATTGGAACTGAAGCATCCTTGAGAAGTCCGTAAACTAAACAAGAAATTTCTGCAACTAAATTTCATTTTTTATTGCACAGGACAAGAAACTAGTGCTTACAAAGTAAGTTGTTGGGGCAAAAGCAAATCCTCCGAAGAATCCCAGAAGACCACCAAAGAAAGGGAAGCAGATGCCAACGAACATTGTAAACGCTGAAATCATAATCGAAGTCTCAGTTTATACGAATTAAACCAGACACTTCCGAAGTGACAACACTGGTGAAATTTACTCACCAACATATATATTGCGTGAGATGAATCGAAGCTTTCTGGAAGGCCTGAAATGCAACTTCTTTACCAGCAATGTTTCTAGCATGTCAAATACTGGAATTGCATATATCTGTTCTACAACAGAAACAAAAGAATAATAAAAAAAAAAAAGAGAGGACAAATTCATGTTAGTTTTGCTATCATGGCGATTGAACTGCTCATGAGACATGATCAACTGCATCAAATCAAACCTGATAGCTTCCGATAACATGGATAACAACGAACATGTTCGCTGCTACGATGAGCCATGTTGGTTTTTCTAACGATATGAGTATGTTATCTTCGACTTTATTACCGAACATGTAATACCCTATCAGAGCAACTGGGAAGTAGCACAATGCTACAACTATATAGGCAACCACCACTCCTTTCCACATTGGCCCTTTCGATGGCTTGCCTGGTTTAGATGGAATTGTTGCTTGAATCTCTAACACGACGTTGTGCCCAGCATAGGCAAAAGCTACATCGCCCAAGGCAGAAAAGAAATTGAAGACCGTTCCAGAAGTTTTCGAGGCTTTGTAGCCATATTCGACATCTGGCTGCACACCTTTGTGGACAGAAGCTGTCCATGCAATGGTAGAGTAACTGCAAAAGATTCATTACACCAAACACGATTGTGTTTGGTCATCATCAATTAGAAAGTACAAAACAAGAATTAAATGAATTCCCATGACTCTTGAAGAATTCTCTGTTGCATTAGGTGTACCCTGTAGGAATGCTTTTCATTTATAACACAGGAGGCTGCAGTCTCTGGCTAAAGCTGATCGTTATTTTTTGAATTCATAATGGATTATGCTAAACGGTTGCCTCATTGATTAATTTCTAGAAATCATTTAAGCAATTCGTGCCTCTCAATTCCATCCTATCCTCTTCAATTTTCCAGCAGAGGATTTAGAATTCTGTATTGCAAATCAAAGAGGGTGGTCATTTGACTTGCGGCCAACATACCTCAAAGACATGACTGCGGCAGCCAGTGAAACACCAGAGATAGAGTTAAAGTTGGGAAGATGAGAAAGCACGAAATGAACCGAGGCGAAAATCATGATAAAGTAGGTTAATTTGATCGGTGCACAGTCTTTGCACACTAACTTGTGGATCTTCTGAAGTGATTTTCCTCCAGTAACCATGTAGACTATGTCAACCCCTACTTCACAAATAAGCTGCTGGGGCACTACTATGTAAAGACCAAGTTTTTCACCAAAGGCATGCTGGCCAAGCTCATGGTATCGGTCAAATCGTTTCCCAGGAACCATCTCATGCATCTCAACCATTTGCCATAAGGTGTACAAAGTGATGGTCCATGAGAGCACAAGAATTACGGTACCAGGGCCCCTGGAATCAAAGATGAAAAAGACCTGAATTACCAATCATGCCGTCACAGAATAAGACTAATTCCATTTTCTAGAAAAATTTAAAGATTTAAGGACAAACATGAATCAGGCAATTTCACGATGATGCTGACGAAGACACATACCATCCAAGATTTGCCATTGCATATGGAAGACTGAGGACACCAGCTCCAACCATGGCCGTCACATTGTGGAAAGCTGAATACCACCATTTTGCATTTCTCGAGGAAGTGATTGGAAGCCAATCATCAATCTCCTTCTTCCTTCTATCTGCCTGTCATTCACAATATCACATCTCTTTGTTACTTTCAATAACAAAACTGCACAGTTAAAAATTGAGCAATCCAATTCCAAGTAGATGCTAGATGGATATTCCAGAAAATAAAAAAAGGGTTCATGACTATGATTTGTTGATTGATCACAGACTCAGGATCTTGGTTCCACAAGCCAGCATGGTTTGCACTATCCTAAGGCATATTGTATGTAAAGTACCCTCCTGTTTTTGCTTCTACTAACTTCGTAATCCTGCATCCTAGCATAACTCAGCAGAAATATTTCTGTTACAAGAAGAGGTAAGATCCTAATGGACAAACAAAGCCTGCTGTAACTTCACATAGTAGAGTCTAGCTATCATTCCAGATGAAAACATGTTGTTGTGTAGGACAGGAGAGGGACATACTACTGAAATTTCCTCGGGGACATCAGGTTTTTGATTATCAGGAACTTGAGTACCCATTTCTGTGCAGGCTGAGAATTTTGTGACAAATGAAGATGACAATGAATCTTTGGAAATAGCAATATATAATTAGGAATTGCGAATTAGGGGAATATCGAAAATGACGATGACTTTAAAGGGATACCGTTCGCCAGCTTGATGACAAGCAACATAATCCAAAAGAATTAAATATAATGGATCTTTTTTAAATGAAAAAAATATAATGCAAAGAGCAGAATCCACGAGCGGTATCTTAATTAACAAACAAATATCATACTTACCTTAAATTCTTTTCTGTACAGATTCTTCATTCTCTCTTTCGTTCTTTTTTTTCTTTTTTTCATTTTTCCTTTTTGTTACATGTTCTATTCTAATGTTTTTGGCATCCTGTGTGCATTGAACATGAATGATTTTGGCTTTGGAAGTCCAATGTATTTCGTTTTTTTTTTTTTATATAGAATTTTATTTTCAGCACAGTAACACGTTTTCAATTTTGCATTGAAAAAGAAAAACTAAATAAGGAAAAACCATTTTCAGCACACCTTAAGCGCTCTTGGTCATGTGGGCAGGCCTTATTTTGGCTTGTTGATATTGATGCTGGTCGGCATTCATGCACCTAATTCTTGCAGCCTTCTGCTAAACAAGATAGAAGAAAAAAAATACACAGCATTTAGATGCTGCAGTTTGCTTGTATTTCCCGCAAAGAGGTTAATGACATTGGCCAACTATAAAATTCTTCATTATTATTCCTCTACTTTTCAAGTAAAATTAACCATCAAATCCTGTCAACAGCTGGGGACCCTAAATGCTTTCCATGCAAATACAGGATCACCATTTTTGCGACATGGCAGGTGATATTCCTATAAAGGAATCGCCACCTTCTTAGGAGTATCTGACCGAGGCCTGTGGCGAAGTGGCTGGCAGGCCTTGAAACTGTCGAACTTCTATTCTATTTATCTATTCTGCCTACTCCATCTGATATAATTTATTATGCTTGCACTGACACATGGCGCCAAACATTGCAATGGTGGAATCTTTGGGAAACATACAGCTAGCATACGTTTAAGGTTCTAGTATTAGTAATACTGACAAATCTGCTGGTGTATAATCAACAGCTGTACGCTTGCTAGCACATCACTTTGAATCAAATCCTCATTGATGTCTAATCTACAAAACCACGCTGCCCCGTTCCTACTATTTCTGGGCTAAGGTAAACTTTATTCTGCAATCTCTATCTATGACAACAACAGCCTGCAATTTCCTGGAAATCTCTTCGCATATCCATCTTTCTTTTCATGGTTGCACCAAGAATTCAAAGAAGGATGTAAGAAGGAAATATTCTTTATCGATACGGCATGCTATTTTTTCCGTTCATCTCAACAAGGTTTGTTTTAACCACAATTAAAAGCAACTCAAACACAATCACAATCAAATACCTGCTACTGTATAGTTATTCTTGCTCCCGTCGTGATAAATCGAATCCCATCCTCTGTTCCTGCTTATTTATACAAGATATTTTAAAAGGTGAACATCCTTCTTAGTAGCAGCGGGGTTTGGAGAAAGAATATGAAATATATATATATATATATCAAGAATGAGAAAAATAATATTACAAGAATAGAATACTTATGCATACGTAAATTCAAGGACTAACCACTGAGTCACAAATAAAAAAAGAGAGGATAGGTTGATGGATCCCAAGCTTTCTATTATAATTTCTAATATTAGAATATAGCTTATACCTGATATAAAAAATAAAATTGGATTGAATAGAGTTGATGAAGAAGAAGCTTTCATCGGATAACAGACAATGTGATACAAGGCCCACCACCATAATAGTTTAATATAAAAAGACTAGCTATCATTATTAGTTTATCCAAAGTTTTTTTTTATCAAGGCAGTCTCCCACATGAATCACTAGCTAATTTCAACTATTAGATAATATTTTATTGTTATTAGAAAAGATAGAAATAAATAACTGGATATCAATTTACCTAAATCAATTTATAATTTAAAAATTTTAATTTTTTTTGTGCAATCAAAATTATGATCAAACAATCAATAAATATAAAATAACATTCATACAAATCAATACCAATATTTTTAAGTGAAAAACTCAATTCAGGAAAAACTACGAGACTGTAGTCCACCTAAAAACTTCTATTATCAACAAATAATGAATTTATAACTGTTCTTCCTTAAATTCAACTAAGGGTTACAACATATATATTATCAAAAACAACTTATTCTTGAAATATAATAACATTAAAGAAAAAGTATTTGAGAAAAAACTCACAATACTGATAATCTTTTTTTTCAGTTAAAACAACCAGCTTCTACACCATCAATTTTCAATCTAACTGTTCAAATGAAGAATAATATGTCTAAAAGTTACGGTTAAAATCTCAGCTCAATCCAAGAGTGAACGAGCTAGAAATCAAGAAAAAAAGACAAACTGCTTTATGACCTCTTCTTCCTTTTTCTCTCTCTTTTCTCTTGCTCTCTTTTGTTTAATAATGCTACTGTCACATTTAAATCAAATAGACATTTAACTACTTTTCTTTTTAATTAATATGGTAGTTTTACCATCATATTGTACGAGATTACATACAACAATTATTGTTTAAAAAAAAAGGATTTACTAAGATATTATTACGGAGATAAAGATAAAATTAGGATAATTTTTAGTCAATTTTCAGTTTCTCTAAATGGAGAGAGAGACAGAGCCAAGCTATTTTCAGTTTCTTTTATTCTGAAACAATAATCAAACGTGACCTTATAGTCCAACACAAAATCTTCCAGCCACTTAGTTTACCACACAACTGAAGCGAGGAGTTTATCCTGACACAAAGAGCATAAGGCTTGTTTCTGAAATATCCCCTTGAGCCATATCTGCAATTTGAAAGATAAGTAGACATGGATAGTTTGCGTTAATGCTCCCTTCTCAACCTTTACGTCTATGGTTACTTTGCCTTTGAAGCTTGCAAAAGAAACCAAACACTGCTGCCCAGGAATACTAATATCAGTATAATACAAACAAGAGCTCTCGGCTTTCCAGCTTATCATTGGGTGGTGATCCCTTGTGATGAACCTCAATTTATGCAAAATCTTCGTTTAATATCCTACATCAAATTTTTGTTATAATCAACATCATCCTGTGCCATCTCTGGGCTCCGATCTCAAGCCTAACGAGATAAGTTACCTCAACATTTTTGCCTAAGTTCTGACAAATATTGATCCTTATCCTGTTCTTCCTTTTTATCAACAATTGATCCATTTGGAAGCCAATGATGACATCAAGACTTCAAGAGTATATGTCTGCAATTCCTCGAGTTGGTATAGGCATCACCTTTTGCGACTTCAAGAGTATATTTCTGCCATTCCTCGAGTTAGTATAGGCATCACCTTTTGCAGTCCCTTATTTTACCCTCCGCTGGTGAAAAACGTGCAGGATTTCTTGCTATTATTATACCCTCTGAAGCTTTTGTTGTAGGTATGGTTCATACTCAACTTCTAGGATGTCCTATTTCAAAAGCTGATATTGTTTAGGATTTAGCAGGAGTATATGGTATGATACGAGGGAAACTGAACTTGATTATCTTATTTATTATTATGATATCCATAGCAACATTTTAGCAAAGTCTACTTTGTAAAGCTTGCCATTCGATTCCACCACAAAGTGATCTTTTTTTGGTTACAGAGTAATCTTTTTTGCTATGATTATTCAAACTGAGAGTGCATTTCTTGATAGACATTCTGACTCCTCTACTTTATTTGATAGCTCTAACATGAGGATTCCAAATTTCTGTGAGCAAATTCCAGGCAACTAGAAGCAAGAACGTTATAATATTTGGAAATGGCAAAGTGCTGCAGAGATTTTCTGACGTGAGATAAAAAAGACGGTAATCTATGCACAACCATATTCACCTTAAATGCAAATTAAAACACTTTATCTGTATTCATTTCAGTAATCGAAGGGGAGAATTGACAAGCCAAATTGAGCTCAAACAAAACATGAAATGGAAAAGGCATGATATACGCATACACAAATGGTGAAAAAATAAAAGGAACAAAGTATTGGCATGTAGGAAACCCTCTTATGAATCTGCGGCCACCATTCAAGCTTACACGAGCAAGAAGCATGTCAATACTCCAAAACAGTCTATTGGGGTCTTAATAATACTGGATAGCCCTATTTAAAGATCTAGTTTTGTTCGTTGCCATAGTTTCTGTCACCATTTTGGTTTCTTCACTCGAGGATTTTTCTTTTATAGCAATCCCCTTCATGCAGGTTGGAAGGTTGTTCAATTGTAGAACTTGTAGTCCTTTGCTTGAATTATGATTTGCCTCATCCCTCCAATGGGTGATACAACCATCAAGATAACGCCGAAGACAATGCAGATCTGCGGTTGAATAAATTAAGTAAGATAAAGTGAATTTAGATATAAAGCAAATGAATAAGCGTAGATCTTCAACAACTTACCCAGTTAGTCCACCAAGATAAGCCAAACTTCTTTGGTTTGTAGATGGCAAGCCACATTATGCAAGGGAGCTGAAGAATGAAACAGTGAGGTTAGGCATTGATGCAAAATCTTTTAATAAACCAATCACATAATAGTTTTCTCAATCATACTAGACTGAAATAAAATAGAGCCACTCACAAAGTATGTAGTTGGGGCAAAAGCAAATCCTCCAAAAAATCCGAGAAGACCACCAAAGAAAGGGAAGGTAATGCCAACAAACATTGTGAATGCTGCAATGAAAACAAGAACAGATGAATAAATCTAATTTCAAACTCGATCTACTTGATTTCACATGAAATCCTTGAATTCAAAAGCTAAACTTAATAACTGAGTTCTCTCTTACCAACATAAATATTGCGTACAAAGAAACGAAGAATCATAGTGGGCCGGAAATTCAATTTCTTTACTAACACAGTTTCCATCATGTCAAACACTGGCATAGCATAAATCTGCATCGTGGGAAAAAAATGATGTTGAAAAATCTGGAATAAATATCAATCTGAAGTAAGGAGGAAAGGCTAAGATAAGGTTTGATTTGCACCTGGTAGCTTCCAATAACATGGACCACAACAAACATGTTAGCCATTGCAATAAGCCATACAGGCTTCTCCAATGTGATGAGGATGTTGTCGGAGACTGAATTTCCATACATCCAGTACCCAATTAGAGCAACAGGGAAATAGCACAAAGCCACCACTATATAGGCAACTATGACTCCTCTCCACATAGGTCCTTTGGATGGCTTCTCAGGTGTAGATGGGATTGTTGCTTGAATCTCCAAGACCACATTGTGCCCAGCGTATGCAAAAGCCACATCACCCAGGGCACTGAAGAAGTTAAAGACTGTTCCTGCCTTACTAGAAGCTTTATATCCATATTGCACATCTGGCTGAACACCCTTATCAACAGAAGCCGACCAAGCAATCGTAGAATAGCTGCAATGACAATGTAAATCAATTTTAGTGCATGTGAAGTTCACAGATTTATAGATGGCAACATAGTTTCCTAAGACCTAGAATGTTAGAAAAACATATCAGTTTCTAGCCCCTTAAATTTCTCTTATTTTCCTTTTTTATTTATTATTTTTTAATTGTGTTGTGGGGTTCCATATCACAAAATTTGGCACAGACTCAGTAAATTTTATCTGAAGGCCTAAAAGTGTAGGGCTACCTCAAGGACATGACTGCAGCTGCCAGAGAGACACCAGAGATGGAGTTGAAGTTGGGGAGATGGGAGAGCACAAAGTGAACAGAGGCAAAAATCATAATGAAGTACGTTTGTTTGATCGGTTTGCATGTGCTGCACACAATATCATGGAACTTCTTCAATGATTTTCCCCCAGTAACCATGTACACAATGCACACACCAATTTCAACAATAAGTTGCTGCGGCACAACAATGTACAGGCCAAGCTTTTCACCAAAAGCATGTTGACCAAGTTCATGATATCTATCAAATCTCTTTCCTGGCACCATTTCATGCATCTCAACCATTTGCCATAGTGTGTATAGCGTGATGATCCATGATAGTATCAGCACAGCCACACCGGGACCCCTGAAAATAACAAATAGAACGTTACATTGATAAAAAAAAAAAAAAGTCATTAATGTCATAATGAAATGGGCCACAGCTGGGAAGCTTCTCTTCCTTTTAAAAATATGTGCTGCTGAACATACCATCCAAGCTCTGACATGGCATAGGGGAGACTGAGGACACCAGCTCCAACCATGGCAGTGACATTGTGGAAAGCTGAGTACCACCATTTTGCATTCCTTGAAGAAGTAATTGGAAGCCAATCATCAATTGCCTTCTGCCTTGCTACTTGTTCATCATCCTGTCATTGATGATTACACATTTCTACATCAATTTTAACAGCAAAACATACAGAATAATGCAACAGAATCGTTGTTTCTTGCTATTGAATTAGCATAATAATTAGACTATAATTCAAGAAAATGATATCAGACAGCGCAAAAAAAGTTGAATAAATTTATTTCCCTCCCTTTATCCTATAAGTTGACGCTACACAGTTCATTCTGTAAAACAAAGTTTGCAGAAAAATCCTCGGCGCACCCATTAGTTCTTTTCATTATTTATTTTTTAATATTCCAATCCTATGGATCTAGATATCCCTAAACCTCGGGAGCAACAAGCAGTAGATCATTTGTCAACTTGTCCATTTTCTAGTAGTTCAGTTTCCAAAGTTAATCTTCATACTTTTGGGACCTAGCTAGCAGCCAATTGGTTGGTTCACACATCACCCAACCACCACTATTTATAACGATAATCTGACTTTGACTAGCAACACATAGAGCCCATCATTTCTGGGAATGGAAAAAATGGTCCCTGTACTAAATATAAAACAACCATAGCCACCGATAAAGACTTCAGAAATAATCATCTACTCTTCCTCAAGTCCTGCTTGATCTAACTGGTTTCCCACACGCATACTGCTCTTATCCTTTTTTTTTTTTAAAAAAATAACTATTTATTTTCCAAAACAAACCATATTTATTTGCAGTAATTAGTGTAAGGGTCAAATAATATGCAAGTAGAGCCATGTGCATGAAGAGTAAAAACCGCAATCGTCCCATAAAAAGAAAAAGGCAAAATTATAGTAATAGAAAATTTATGAGCTGTATGCATACACCGACAAGGCTACAACTAAGGCAGTATCTTACAAATTCATTAAGAAAAAGGGTACTGGTATCTTAGAAAGTGTTAATTATTTGTGCATCCTCTATTAAATTTTAATCAATTTTTTACTCTAGAATCCCCCAAATCCATTGATGATGACGATGGTTACAGGTGTTTTTTTATTTTTATTTTTCAGTGGCAACTGGCAATATACTTTGTAAAGTTGAGAACCAATAAAGAAAAAGATTGAAAACTATTAATTTGAATTGCTGACCTAGCTAGCTAGCTAGCTAGCTGACATGCAAGATTAGAATACGGCAGAGAAAAAGAGGAGCATAGTGGTGAGTCAAGTGGATACAAATTTCCAAATATAAATGCTAGGCTTGGAAAAATTAACAAGAAGAACGAAGCAGTGGATGTGCGTGTAGAGTCTAAATTTGTAAAGTCAACATATTGAAGGCAATTACGTGTTTACTAAAGCTGTCTAATTAAGTCTAAAGTATCAATAAATAGAAAACAATAATTTAAGAAACCACAACTTTTTTGAGAAATCAATTAACATAATAAAGAAAAAACTGAAAAATGTGCAGCAGAAACATACTGAGGATTCTTTCTATGCTTCTCCTTCTTTATGAAGGGAAGGGAAGTATATTGGAGCACTAAGCATAACCATTTTTATATAGCATCGCTATTATATACTCAATTCGGACAATTTAAAAAAAACGAAAATAAACTGACTGGACACAGGCTATGAACATGAAGATTGCCAGCTTGATGAAATTGCAGTAAATTAAAGGGACTGGTGCAGTTTACGAGATTAAAGGAGACAAAATGTAGATGCCCTTTTGTTTTTTTAAGAAAAAGAAGCAAGACACTGTGAATCTCTCAGTGAATCACATCAGCAGATTTGTTCTTTGTTATGCCCTCAGTTCTTGAATACATGATGCACACAGATTTACCGCTCAATTCGTAGCAGAGCACCTGAACGTTTATGGCGAGTTCTTGTACGTAATAACATTAATTAGATTCTCGAAACTGGATAAAAATAATCATTTTCTCCTCTACTTGCCAAGAAGAAAGATGTGCTAAAACTTTGTCCCGAATGCAAAAAAAAAGGAGCAATTCAGAAAAAGAAATTCTAATATATAACAAAAGGTGCCAATTGGAGAGGTTAATGATGCAAGAATCAAGTTAAAAGCTAACAAAAGACAAAACTCCAACCATTTTGGAAAAGATCTCATCACTTTTCATGTCTTGTTTCCCTGCAAAATTAACAATATCTAGGAAAAAAGTAAGAGAGAGAGGGGGGTGGGCTCACCTCTTTCTGGGTGTAGCCATGATCATTGTTAGTAGTTTCAACACCCATGTCTTCAAACTGCAGAGAATGACACGCAGGAGAGCTCAAGAAAATAAAGAGCTAGAAGATGAAATATTGCATCGACGTGCTTTGAACGACCTCAAGCGCCAATCCTTCCTTCTATTTATAAAGAAAACCCAAGCAACACGAAGAGAACCGAGTGAAGTTTTTTGTTTGACTTGATTAGAGTCCTTGTGGGGACACCTAAGAAGCCTATCTTCTACCTTACCTTTTTGAAAATTCCACGAAGTTGCATTCGCTTAAAAATATTAAATTATTTTCATATATATATGAAAATGATTTCAATGTATTGATTATAAAAACATTAAAAACTATTATTTTAATATATTTTTATTTTAAAAATATTATACACTGTCATATCAAATCCACAATAAATTATCGTCTTCATCGTAATTTAATTTTAAGCTGTTTGTATGGTAATTACAGTAAGAAAAAAGGAATATTTACTATGGACCAGGAAGTTTAGCCAAGCACAGGATAAATTACATTATAATTAAGCAGTAATATAGTCGTTTTTACCTATACGCTTCCTTGATACTTTTCTTTCTGTCATTGGACAACTAATATTTCAATTTGATCCTAAATTATATATCAATTGCAATTCGATCCAATGAATCTAATTTTTTTTCATTTAGAATATTTTCGAGTTAACTTCTACGACAAAAAACATAAAAGAAATATAAAAGAATAAAAATATATATAATATATAAAAATATAAAAGAATGCAAGCATTATTATCTTTATCGTCCATAATTAGTGTCAGCATTCAAAGAAATCATGAGACAAAAAATAAGTATATACAGCATATATAATTCTGTAAAATAATCTTACCAGTTTTTTTCTTTTTCTTTTTCTTTTTTGGGGAAGAGAATAATTAATAGCCTGCTCGATCTGAAGATAACTTATTTATAGGCTTGATAAGGGGAGTTTTCTTAACCGATAGCAACAAGAAATTCTAATCCTTCCATGATTAGAATCCTTGTATAATAATAATTCTTCTATAAAACGGACAGTTTTTTTTTTATTTATTTTTACTGGTAGAAAGAGACAGAAATTCTAATCCTTTCATTATTACAATTCCATATTCCTTAGGTCTTAGGTTATAATTAATACTGTAAAAGGAGGTTAGCAAGAGGAAGTTCTAAATTCAGTTAAATTTATATATATATATATATATATAGTGTGCGTGTGTTTAGACTTTCAAAAATCAGTAGTAAAGTGGATAATAAAACTTTTTAATAATATTTTTCATACATTTATAATTATTTTTTTTATAAATTGGGATCTCTGGACCAGTTTACGAATATCATAACTAATCCCTAAATTTATTAAATATTCTATAAATTTAGTTAATAGGTAAGATATTACAAGGATGATATGGATATACAAAAAAGATCCAACTTGAATAAAAAAAAGATCTCTTTTTTTCACTAAACAACGAACTCAATAGCCTTCCATAATATTAACAGTATGTGTTGTAGATATTTAAAAAAAAAACTAAATTATTTAGTTCATTGTCAAATAAGTGCAAGGTCCCTTCCAATCGGGAATAAAATATACTTGGCCACTCAAATAAAATTGAAAAGGAAAATTTAAGGGAACTATCAAAATAAATTGAGTGTATCGGCCGGCAAATAATGACTAAGAGTTTTTTTTAATTAAATAAGTCTTCTTTTTTTTTTACAGCACAAATGTAATTTTCATGGGCAAAATATTTTTTTTTTCATTGACAAAAACCTATAAAAACAACTTATGGAATTAAGTCAAATTAAATAATTTATTAAAGAAGTAGTTTTTAATTCAGAGATTAGTGGCACTTTGATAAATAATGAAGGAGGCTTATGTGCATTTTAGTCCTTGTAGAATGATATAATTCATTCACATGGAAGTACGAGATCCCTACCCTTAAAATACTAGTCAAATTATTCTTCCAAGAACATGTTCACACATGCAACTATAATGGAAGATTTGTCCGCGCTTCTACTTGGGTGGAACAATGTTTCTTTTGATGTAAAAAAAGTAATAGATATAAAAAAAAATAAGTTTCAAATCATTCATTAAAATGGCAATTTAAATAATAATAAAAAACACAACAACAATAAATAAATTAATCAAAAATTAATGGAAAAAAGATAAAAAAATCACAGCCAAATCTTTCCAAATTACAAAACAATCCAATATTTATTTAACCGAAAGAAAACCTAAAAAAAAACCAAACTTTAAAAAAAAAAAACAAAGCATTCTTCGGCGAACCTCCTAAACCTAAACTAATCTAAAAACCTTTCAACTTAGATTATATACCCGAGTTCAATTAAAAAGTTTAAATGTCATCCAATTTAATTTTAAATGATGGAATAGTTGAAAAAAATACTAATAAAAAAAAAATAAAAAAATCACTTAACTAATTTAATTCTAAATGATGGAATAGTTGAAAAAAATACTAATAAAAAAAAACTTACAAAATAAAAGGATTAGCAAAAGAAAAAAAAATGGGCCTAAAATATGACAGAAAAAAAAATCATTAAAGATGAATTTTGAAAAAACAAATATCCCAAAAAAATTGCAATTAAAATAATCGAGACTAAACCTGAAAGATTAAAAAATTAGAGGGGTGAAATTAAAAATTATTTATAACATGATAGATTATTTGTAAATTAAAAAATGATTTTGGTGAAATAAAAAAAATTGTTAAAAGCAAATTGAATTTTTTTATCCAATTTTGATCAAAAAACATAATCTTCAACCAATTTAATTTCAAAAGATAAGATCGCTATAAAAATATTAATAAAAAAACCTGTAAAAGCAACAAGATAATTAAAAAAATAAGGATCAAATTTTAAAGATAAAAAAATATTGGGGGTGAAATTAAAAACATATATAAAAACCAAGCAAACCTAGACAAACATTCTAAAAATAATAAAGTATTAAAAAGCTCGCAACCAATGAAAACCTAGATCCAGATCCTATCAAGAAGTTTATTATAAGTAAATTTTAAAATATAAATTTGAAAAAAATTATCCAAGCCAAAAAAAGATAACAAAAAAAACCTTTAGAAACCCAATAACCAACCTAAGCTAAGATATCCAATATATAATCTAGGACATGAGTTTGTGATAACGTTATAAACAAGAAAGCTTAAAAAAGGATCAAAGTTGACTCGAACTAATTTTCTAAATCTACGACTCGGATTATAAAACTGTTGTGACCTCATCAAAAGTAAACCCGAAAGAAAAAAAACCAGATAATTAACTAAACAAACATTAAGGGATGAAATTGAGAAAAAAATTCAATAAAAAATGAAAAAAAAAAAGAAATTAAAAGAATGAAGACTAAATTAGACATAGAAATAAAATGAAATTAAATATTCACGGATGAAATTGTAAAAAAAAAATTCATTAAGAAAATAATTTAAAAATATCAATTAAAAAATGACCAAATTTGACACAAAAATTAAATGAAAATAAATGTCTATGGTGGAATTGTAAAAAAAAAAAAATCAATCAAGAAAATGATTTATGGAATTGTAAAAAAAAATCAATCAAGAAAATGATTTAAAACAAAACAAATAACAATTCAAGGAATGTGCAAATTTCAAAAATCAAATGACCAGGAATAAAATAAAAAATAAAATCTAATTGAAAATAATTAATATAAATACAAAAAATCACAAATAAGAGAAGAGAGATTGAATTGAAAGAACAAATAAATTAAAGGGTTGATATGATTTTTTGCATGGCTAACACACAATCCTTGGAAGAAAGAGAAGGAAAAGAAAAAAGAAAAGTCATTTCATATCAAACCTCATTGAATCACTAGACATTGGTCATCCAAGAAAGAAAAAGACAATAAGACAAATCAAATGATGCGGTGAAAATGTCATTACAATCATTAGAGTAAACTGCACACACCACTTAAAGTTGACAGAGCGATTGACACACTTACATGTACTTTGCATGTGCAACAACTTGTTTTTATTTGTACAAAACCAAAAATATCTTCAAGACTAGTTAAAAAACAAACAATGAAAAAATTACTACCAAGCCCCTAGATTGATGGCTAAAAAACAAAAATGGTATAGATAATATAGTAATTCTGCTATTCTATGAAATATGAAAATATAAAACTATTTTTATGCAAAAGACATTGGATTATTTAATTATCGGGTTATATTAGTTATTTTACTATTCATTTTAATAAGCAATTACCAAAATAAACCAATCAATTCTTAAAAAACATTTATGTCATGGAAAAAAAAACACCCTACCCCTTAAACAAAACCAAAAAAGAAAATGACTAAAAAATAATATAATAATTACACTATTTTTACAATGAATAATAAATAAACTATTTCTTGAAACACGATAATATCACCATAAATTTTGGACCTCTTGTTAATAATTCATTCATATGGAAATACGAGATCCATTCCCTTAAAATACTAGAAAAATTATTCTTCCAAGAATATGTTCACACATGCAACTATAATGGAAGATACAATGCATAGCTCAAGCTGCGCAAATCAATCATCAAAATTGCCCAATGTGATCTTATTTAATTGGCATAATTAGGGTTTGACAATGCCTTCCACGACAGCTACATGCTGGTGCTCCATTGTATGGCCGCGATATTGAAGCCTTTCACAGTGGTGCGAAGAGACCTACCCACCTCTGCAACTATAATGATGATTTGATTCTTTGTTTGTTTCCTCATATGCTGTTCATCGTTTTACTCCTCTTTTTCCAGCATCATTGCAACTTATATATCTTGATCTTCAGAATTTATACATAGCAGTATAGCATTTTCAACAAATCGATCATTGTGATGCTGGAGATTTTTTTTTCTTCCCAATATTAATTGGCTTAACTTTGTATTCATTGTTTGTTAAATCGAGTTGAAATTAACATAATATCTTGTAAACCTAGTTTTTTTACATTAAAATTTTGCAGCAATTAAAAGACAGGAAAGGTTTTCGACAAGATAAGACTCAAAAGATACTATTTAAAATTTATAATTTTTTTTTCTAGTTGGTGTATGATTTTTCCCTCTTAATTCATGAAT